AAGGAGAGAGAGAGAGAGAGAGAGAGAGAGAGAGAGAGAGAGATCTACTTGCCAGATACAAATAGACACCCCAAAGCCGCCCCCAATTCTCACCTCCTCCAGCCACGCCCATCACCTCGGTTACCACTCAGTTGATCCCTATCAGGGGATTAATTCACTGATGGGGTTAAGACCCTCACGGCCCAGTCATTTCTCCTCTGAACCTTCTTGCACGGTCTCACACGTGAGCTTTTGGGGGACACCTCATATCCAAACCACAACAGGAGGTGACACTGGAGCTGAGGCTTGAATGACAGACAGAGCCAATTATTGGGGGTGTCCTCATTAGGGAAGAGAGTAGGATGTGGGGACCCCAGCGAGGGAAGGAGCCAGGCGCTTCTGGGGCACAGGAGAAGGGTGTGCGGCCAGAGGGTGCTAAATGATGGGGAGAAGCAAGAGGGTCCTGGGACGTCCGCCAGAGTCCTAGCGTAGCCTGGGGGACCTGGCAGGAAGGTTGGATTTTGTTCTGAGCGTGGTGGTGAGAAGCCACTGCAGAGTGTGAAGGAGAAGTCAGGTGAGCGTCTTTGGAAACTCACCAGCTGCTGGGTGAACACAGGACCGTGGTGAGGGACGTGCGGAAAAGAGACTGGATGGGAAGCCACTGTAGTAGCCCCGTGGTTGGGATCCTTGGCCCTGAATCTGAGAGGTGATCCAGCAGGTAGAAAGCATCTTCGCTCTCAACTACATGAAATGTCACTTTCAAACCCATTCCTGGTTTTAGGAGAGCCGGGATAAGCGCTATCTGATCCAGAAGCTAACAGAAGCCCAGAAGGATGTGCGGAGCCATTAGGCTGAGCCTGAAGACGCCGGGCCGCAAAAGTGCGGCTCCGCTGGTGACTGTCGCACCCACAAAGCCCGCCTGGGTTTTGAGCAGAAATTTCAAAATATATTTTTCTGGAATTGAGGCTTTTCCTGACGGGACTCTGTGCAGCTCCGGTGGGCCTGGTTACAGAACCCAGCCTCTCATGAGGGCTTTGGGTGACGTGGTAAAAGCAGGTCAAGCGCCAGGTCTTCGCCTGTAGATGTTTAGAACAGGTTTTGAGAATAGGGAGAGGATCCTCAGGACCTGCTACCTGGTAGCAGAAGGGAAGAAAAGTGGGTCCCTGCTTTGTGAGTACATGAGTAAGCAGTCCCTCAAGTGTCCCCATCAGTCCTCTCCAGGAGGGGCCTTGTGGCCTTGTTTTCTGAGCTCTCTGAGTATTTCCTGCAGCCTTAAGTTATCACTCAGGGGAAAACCTCCTTCAGCCGACTCTCCTCCACAAGCCTCAGTTTCCATCTGGTCCTGGGTTCTGAGATTTGGCAAGAGGAACCTGTACCATCCAAAGTAGGAGGCTTGTTCGTCTCAGTGTCCCATTGCCCTTCTTGCCTCCAGGTCCCCATTTCTAAAGGACACTTCACATTCCTGAGCCAGGCTGGAAAGAGCTGTGGAGTGATTGTAGCTGAGAGTTCCATGCCTGAGTGATCCAGGGTGGAGATCCCACAACCCAGCCGGTTCAACAGACCAGTGAAAACGTACCAAACCAGGCTGGATCAGCCCTGGTTTCTGAAGTACACATTTTCAAGAGCTATGGTTTGCTTTCCTGTGCTGAACATTTTTAAATGCGTAGGCCTTTATTTTGCAAAGCATTACACGAGCAGACTCTCTCTTAAGATTTCCGTTAGGGTAACAGTAATTTCTGTTACGGTGAAGACCATATGCAATAAATACCTCATTGTAAACGTACCTGAAATTGATAACCCTGGACCTTTTAGTGGAAAGCCTAAGTTATTGCTTAATATAACCTGTTTTCATTTACATGTCTCAAAATCTTAAAGTACTGTAATTTTGTTAATAGACCGTTTTCTTCCTGCCATTGTTTTTCTTCCTTTCTCTGGTTCCAAACCTTTCCTGGAATTTAAAGTTGGATACAGGTTTTGGAAAGCTGCTTCTAAGAATAATTCCCTCCTACCCCCCTCAACATCATCCCAGTACTCAAAACTGATTAGCTCCTTGCTCTGAGGGAGAAAGCAAGCTGTCGGAGCTTATAGATTTCTATACTCGTGTTCCTTTGTTGCAATCTTTTTTTCTTTCTTTTTTGGGGATGGGGATCAAACCCAGGTCCTCACACATGCTAAGCACACACTCTTACCAAGCTACAACCCCAGCTCCAACTCAACCTTCTTCTTCCACAAAGGTCGTATTAACAGGAGTATTTTTGTTCCTGTTGGACTGATGAGTTTTTCAAGTTTTGTTACAGTTGATGAGTTTCTAAATGTAACTGGCGTCATGGCATTTTGAGAAACCGAAAGTTCATTCTAGCATTTCTGAAAAAAAAAAATAAGTTTTAATTGTAAGCATTTCTGCATAGTGCCTCTGTGCTTCTGTATGCATTATGTCTCTGCCTGTACCAGGCTTCTAAAGAGAGTCGTGTGTGTGTGTGTGTGTGTGTGTGTGTGTGTGTGTGTATGTGATGAATAAAATGAAAATATATTGCTGTTTTCATTCCGTTTTAAAACTGATACTGAAACAAATAACAGTAGTTTTAGTTAAAATGCTGCTAATTTGCATACCTCTTACTTGAATGTTTTGATATGTTTTGATAAGTTTAATAATTTCAAGTGATGTCTGTATAATTTTTAAAGTACGGCTGTCTAACACATGTGCATTAAAACTACTGATTAAACAGCATCTTTAAGGTTTTAAGATGTAATTGTATATATTCGAACCCTCGGAGGCTTCTCATTGGCAATCAAGTGATCACAAAAAACAAGTCTGTTGTTGCTCTTGACCTTTTCTGAAAATTAGATGAAAGAACTGTTTAATGAAACCATCAGAGGAATGCTTTTAAGACTCCTTGGCTCTGTTGAAGCCTAGAAGTGTACTTGTGCTTTTTAAACTTATAACACATAAAATTATTTCAGGCATTCCTCATCCCACTTCCAGAGAAAACCACTGATAATATTCATTTTTATTCTTCCAGAAAATTGATACATTCATGCAGGCATATACCTGTGAGCGTATGTTGTGAAATACGGATTTCCAAACTTCTTTTTTCTCCTTAATAACATCTTGAAGACCTTTCCATGTAAGCAGTGACCTCATTCTTTTTTATGGCTGTGTAGCATTCCACTGCACCCGTGGATATTTGACTGTGCAACCATTAATGGATGTCTGGATTGTTTCTGCCTCCCCCCACCCTTTGAAAAACACTGGGAGCTAGAATTTTTAAAGCTCCTGCAAACATTTCTGTGTTGCCCCATTCTATTGTTTTTCGTAAGGCCGACTTGCAGGTTCTTGCAATCATAAAATGTTCTTATCCTGGCAAAGAAAAGAATCCAGTTAGGCAAGTCTTTAGTTTGCATCAACTCTTCAGTTGGCAAAGTGAATTCCTGCAGCTACACATCAAATTCCTGCTACCCACTTGTGTTAAGTATTGGAGAAGAAGGAATTAATGTCGCCAGGATAGCAATACAAGGTCCAATTCTTAAGAAATGAGAACTTCTGAGCCTATCTCCTTTATGTAGTGTGTGACTTAGTTCTATTTTGTGTATTTTGTGTCTAATGTATGGCATGTGCTTGGGGCATGGATAGCTTTACATCTTGCTTCATCCTGTGATTTTTTTTTTAAGAGAGAATCTTTTTTTTTTTTTTGTAGATGGACACAACACAATGCCTTTATATATATATATTTTTTTATGTGGTGCTGAGAATCGAACCCGGGTCCTGCCGGTGCTAAGCAAGTGCTCTACCACTGAGCCACAATCCCAGCCCTCATCCTGTGATTTGGTACAGTTGTCTTTTCTGCAATAAAGTATCCTTATTTTTTTAAAAATATTCTTTTTAGTAGTAGATGGACACAATACTTTTATTTTATGTATTTATTTATATGTGGTGCTGAGGATTGAACCCAGTGCCTCACATGTGTTGGGCAAACACTCTACCACTGAGCCACAACCCACCCCCCCCCTTATTTTTAAAATAGAAAAACAATACAAAAATTGCTTTCAGATTTAATAATTGAAATAGGGAGTAATTTTTTATTTTTGAGATTTTGTTTTTGTCACTTAAAAAATGGAAACTAGAGAGAAAATTTAAAATTATTCCTGAGTACCAAGTACGGTCACCCACTGTTAATCTTGGCAAAATTGCTTTTAGTATAGAAAGTTATGAAGAGAAGAAAACCGGAAATAAGGAAAGAAAGAAAAATTTAGTATCTCACTTCTTTTTCACTAAAAAGTTATGTTATCAAAAGTTCATTATCAACATTTCAGTGGGCTACATAATATAACAGCATTCAGATGATTCATAGTTTAACATTCCCTTAGCGCTGAATATTTTATTTCCAAATTATCCCAATAATAAATGACTGGAACATCATACATGTTTGTCAACACTTTTCCCCCTTAAGAACAGAGACCTAGAGACTTTTAGCAAAGATTTTGAACATGCTAAGGTATTTAGGAGCCAAATTTATACTTTCAGTAGCTTTATGTGAGACGTTACATTGCATCATTATTAAGAACTTATGATTCATCATAATTTTGAATTAGTTTATATAGTGTATTGATTTGAACACTGTAGACAACTAGCAATCTAAATTCAATTTTATAAGATCAGTTCATCTTAAAATGTTTTATAATAAACTTGGGAAAACTATACAAAAAATCCAAGGGTGCAAAATGAAAGTTCCCCCTTCTGAAAGCCTCAACCTTCTGATGTTAACCAATATCAAACGTTTTATTTCATATTCTTTCAGATGTGCATCTTTGATTCTTTTTCTGTCCTTATATAATACATCACTCATTTGAAAAGTTATATCTGTTGGGTAGACCCCCTACAAGTAGGACTGTCATCTTAGTGGATATATGCTTTCAGAAGTACATGTTGCAGGGCTGGGGTAAGAGATAGAGCACTCACCTAGACTAGGTTCAATAGTCAGCACCACATAAAAATAAAGGGGCTGGGTAACGCGCTCGCCTGGCATGCGCGGGTAGCTGGCTGGGTTGATCCTCGGCACCACATAAAAATAAAGATGTTGTGTCCACCGAAAACTGAAAAAAGTAAATATTAAAAAATTCTTTCTCTTTCTAAAATAAATAAGTAAATAAAGGCACTTACAACTAAAAAGAGAACATGTTGCAATTTTTTCCTCTTGAAAAAAAAAAGTTGCAACAGTATAAAGGCACAGCAATAAAGTGGGTACAAAGTACAATATACATTCTGTAGGAAATCTGAAAATTGAGGACTGGGAAGAAAGTTAAAGTGGGCTGTCGGGCCTACTGAAGGCAACACTATTGACCCCGTGGCGACCTGAGTTTCACTGTGTAATTTCTACTGTGTGTGTTTTTGGTTTTCCGTTTTGTTTTGGTACTGGGCATTGAACCCAGGGGCGCTTTACCACTGAGCTATTTATTTTGGGACAGTCTTGCTAAGTTGCTATGGGTCTCGCTAATAATTGCTGAGTCTGGCCTCGAAACTGGGATCTTCCTGCCTAGACCCTCTGGGATTACCGAGGTGAGCCACTGCACCCCACTGATTTCTAGTTTTGAAGAGGAAGTAGGAAGCAGAAAAATCTTCCACGGAGGTAAAGCAAAAGGTACAACGGCTCTGTCAATAACCCTCCTGGTCGTCTTTCCCGGGAACTTCGATGAGAAACCTTGAGCCTGTCCAGACCCTTCTTAAGAGCAATTTAGCATTCTTATCGCCATAGCAACCCAAGGTTGCTTCTGAGTGATTGATAGGGACCGCATCCAATAGACTGGGTCCATTTGCAGCTCTCAGCCAATCACGTGAAAGCGTGGGCCTGGGGAGCTTCCACTGGTACCAGGGCGAGTTGCGTCTTCTTTACGTCTGCTTACATCATCATTCCGCGCCAAGAGCACAATTGATCCGCAGAGCTAAACAGCGTCTGCTTTGTGAGCCGGGAGATGAGTTGCGCCGGGGCGGCGGCAGCTCCCTCCCTATGGCGGCTGCGCTTGGGCGCCCGGCGGCCCCTCTCAGGTAAAGCGGGGACGCGCGGCCGCGATATTGCGTTGGGTCAACGGGCCGGGGAAAGCTTCAGGTTCGGGTCGGAGAGGTCACGGGGAAGACGTTCGTATACGTCACAGGCACGCGACGGTGCGAGACTGCGTGACGTCAGCCGAGGGGCGGGGTTTGTAGTACCCCGCGATAGTGACCAGTGGATTTCGGAGGTGAAGCTTGGTTGGGGCTTTGGCTTAGGGGTGGCTCCGTGGGTGGCTCCGTGGGTGATGACGTAATCGCAGACCTGCCCTGAAATACACTGAAGACCGAAATTTTGAACTTGTATAGACAGTATTGCCTGCCCAGGCTTGAGCCCAAGACCGTTTTTCTGCTAAAAATGTAGTTATTATATACACTTACAAATATGAGACGCTACCCACTATTCTCAAGAATATGTGCTAATTTTAAAATGGAGATTGGCATGTGTGCCAATCTGCAAGTGGAGATGTTTCCTTGATTAATAAATGGATTCGAATTTTTGAATTTAAAATTTAAAGATGTTTAAATGTTAAAATGACGGGTGTTATTTAATACCAGTTCATAAGCTGCTTTTAAATCCTCCCCTATACCACTGAAAAATTTCCAGGGAACGTCATTGGATATGGGATACATGGATATAAAATGATAAAATTGAGGGCACTGACCCTAGATTGCAAAGTATGCGATAATGCGATCAGAACTCAAAGAGTTGTTGAATGTGAATTTTAATGCACTCCTGCTGAGCCGATGAGCGTGACATAATAAGAATCACTTATTTATAAAATTACTTTGCTTCCTAGATCACATTTTACCCTCATGATAACTCAGGAAGAAAAGTTTTATTATTATATGTTTTCCCTTTGAAGGAAATACTTTGGCCAGAGTGGTGGCGTATGCCTTTCATCCCAGCTGTGTGGGAGGCTGAGACAGGAAGATCCCAAGTATGAGGTCAGCCTGGGATATTTAGTAAGACCAGCCTCAAAACTAAAAAGGGCTGGGAACATAGCTCAGTGGTGGAACTCCCCTGGGTTCAGTCCCCATTGCTGGGAGGATGGGGGGGATACCCTGATTATGGGGAATTTTTTTATGTAAAAAATATTCTGATTTGTGTGATTTATATTAGAGATTGGAAAAACATTCTCTTTGTTTTTTAAATTGTAATTGGTCCTTTTATGCTTTGCACAAAAAAAGTGATTCCTATCTGCAGACCCAGGGACATGTGTTTCTGATTCTAGGCATTTTCATTCTGGGGCCCATCTCATGCTTTACAAAGATACTTTGCTGAGATTGTGAAAAGATGAAAATAGCAAATATTATGATACCCAGGCCTCTCACCCCCTCCCCCAAACCCTACTACCCCCCACCCCCACCCCTGACAAAAAAATCCAACTTATCAAGTGCCTGCATCTGGTAGTTCTTTTTTATTCTGTTTGGGGATTGTGGATTGAACCCAGGGGCCTTTAACCACTGAAGCACATCCTCAGCCCTTTTATTTTTTTATTTTGAGACAGGGTTTCACTGAGTTGCTTAGGGCCTTACTAAATTGTTGGCTTTAAACTTGTGATATTCTTGCCTCAGCCTCCTTAGTTGCTGGAATTATAGGCATGCACCACCATGCTCGGGCAGGGTGCCTGAATCTGGAAGAGTGAAGTCATGTTAGGGAACAGTCTAGTCTGTTTTAAATACAAACATAATCCTGCCCG